AAAAAAAAAAAAAAAAACAACAAAAAAAAAACAATGTCTTTCCTTGCTGGGTCTCCAGGTGACGTCTTTGGAATAGGTAAACATTATGTGCTAGTGCTCTTAGGTTTGGGGTTACCGCATTACAGGACAACATATGGACATACAGAGCAGCCAGATACCAATGGAAAGACCAATATGTCAACCTGATGGAACCTGCATGGGCCTGCCTGGTTTATGTTTACTCTGTGAAATTTTTAATACTACCAATGATCAGATTCCCTAACTGCCAAGGAGTATGCTTTATTCAATCATATGAATAACCTAGTTACTTCAGTGTCATGGGCAGAGGGTACTTCCTTCAAAGAAAGAACTTCTTTTTCTAAAGTCTTGGGCCTGATACTTGGCTTCTTCCTTTGTTTTTGCCAAGGGAAACAGCTGTTTTCTTGAGAGGCTATTTTTAGCTTACTTGTTATCCTATAGTCACTTTCTAGGTTTCCTATTACAATTACCTGAGCAGGTCTGAAAAATCCCAATGTTTAGGGGTGGAACCCAGGCATAATAATTTTTTAAAGATTTTATTTTATTTTAGATTCAAAGGGTACTTGTTCAGGTTTGTTACATAGGTCTACTACGTGATAGTGAGGTTTGGGCTTTGGATGACCCTCCCCCAGGTGGTGAGCATAGTATACCCAGTGGGTAGTTTTCAACCCTTATTCCTACTCTCTCACTCCCCCCTTTAGTAGTCCCCAGTGTCTGTTGTTCCCATCCTTGTGCTTACGTGTGCAGTCCTTAGCTCCCTCTTATGAGTAAGAACATGCTTATGTGTGCAGTCCTTAGCTCCCACTTGTGCTTATGTGTGCAGTCCTTAGCTCCCACTTATGAGTAAGAACATGCAGTATTCAGCTTTCTGTTTCTGTGATAATTCACTTAGAATGATGACCTCCAGCGGCATTCACAGGCATAAACATTGTCGAAGTTATCCAGGTGATTCCAATGCACAGCCAAGGTTGTCCTCCACTACCTTAGTTCAAAACTCAAAGGTTCTTACTCAGGTTGTGTATTAGAATCGCCTATCACACTTAAAAAACAAAAACAAATACCCAGATTCTACCCCCAAGAGTTGATGGGTTAAAATATATATATTGCTGAACATACCTATATACATATTGCTGGACATATCTACAGCAACTTTCCTATGAAGTAGCCAATTAGAGCCCTGGTTAAGTATTTTAAGAACAAAGCCTATTGGTTAAAAGAGACTTGTTTCTTCTTCACATAGGTTCGCACAGCTTGCTCCTCTGCTCTTGGATACTTAACTTACAATGCAAATGCCTTTCGCATCCTATTTAAGGAATGCAGGAATAAACCTAATCAGTTCCTTCGTATAACAAATAATATCAGCAGAGATGCAAGTATTAACCCAGCATTTTTAAAGCAATTTCAAATGCAACAAACAGTGGGACTTCCTTCCTTAAGGTATTGTGCTATTTGAAATAGCAATAGCCAAATCTTTGATAGAGGAGACTTTTAGAAAGACCAAACAAGGATAAGCTTCGTTGTAAATGTCCATTGCCAAAGCCTATTTTAATTCCAACTCAGCGCCAGAATGGTGGATGCAAGACAGGAAAACAACTAGATCTTAGGAGATCTCTTTATTATGGGCATATTTTCTATTCTGTAGATGTAGTTGAATTACAAGTCTTCTCTGCAAGTAGCGATATTCATATATAGGATATAGAAAGACTCTAGATAGTATATTAACTCCAAGATGATGGAAAAACATAGGATCCAGTAGTGTATCGTGGTTACATAAATCAAAAAAAATTTTTTTTTTTTTAGTCAGAGTCTCACTCTGTTGTCTAGGCTGGGGTGCAGTGACACACTCATGGCCACTGCAGCTGGACCTCCTGAGATACAGGCATGTGTCACCACACCCGGCTAACTTTTTTATTTATTATAGAGACAAGGTCTCGCCAAGTTGCCCAGACTGGTTTTGAACCTCTGGGTTCACGCAATCCCTCTCATCTCTGACTCCCAAAGTGCTGGGGTTACAGGTGTGAGCTACTGTGCCCAGCCCAATTTTAAGTATAAAGAATAATGAGTACACCTTTAGAGTTACTTTAATTCTTTGAAAAACTAAAAGTTCAAAATGGATAACTTCATTGTTAGTAAGTCAAAGAGCCTAAATTATAATTGTTATAATTGACAATGTTCAATAATTTTCCTTGTTTCAAAAGATTAATTTAGGATAAATAATGTAAGTAGTATTTTAAAGTCACTCCCAAGGCTAGCCCATATGGCAACTGTAGGAATTAGAACAGTTTGCCCCTTTCTCAGACCTATTTTCTTCAAAACCCAGCTGGAGTGTCTCCTCTTCCATAACGCTTTCCCTGATCACTTCAAGCAGATTTAAGTCCCAAATGTTTGGAGTAAATGAATGACTAAATAGAAAATACCTACAGGTAACATACATAGTTAGTAGAGGTAACATGAATGAATTAGGCTGTTAGGCATTGAACATGTACCTAGAGTAAGTCACCATGTATTTCTTCATATATTTTTTTCTGACTGCACTATACTTTTGTTGCTGTTTTAAATTATTATTATTTAATAAAAATGTTTTTCTTTTAGTTTGGAGAAGAATGGAGGACCATCCATAATTCCTGTCTTTAAAAAAGGTAACTATCTTTTATTTCTGAGGTACCCTCTAGCCCTGACATTTTACAATTGTGTTCTATCTCTAAAATTCAACATGCAGAGGTGTCCCAGCCCCCCAAATATATCTGTAAACTTTTCTTTTGAAATTCTGTATTCCTAAAATATCTTCCCATGTGAATCATGGACTTCTCTATTCCTATCACTTGACAAAGATCCCTCTCTTCACTTTTTCTCAAACCTTGCACAGAAATGTCATTATTTAAACAACATATGACTTAAATTGCTGTTTCATTTACAATTTATCTATCTATACATTCTTAGGGCAGAGACCACATTTTTCCATTTCATTTTTCCACTTCATATATTTTTCCATACTCTATACAGTTTTGTACACAGTTGGTAGGTGACACTTGAGTGGACTAGCTCTGCAGAAATGAGAGTTGACATCTTATAATATTATTCATCCCTTCCTATTAGGCATGTAATAGGGAGTATAAATTACTTATTAATTTCAGGCATATGCTTAGTGCTTGTTCATGTGTGCTAGTGTAGGACCACAATCAGTCTTAAGTTGGCATACTGTCCTATCGTCTAAATCAAGGATAGAAATATTCAGAAGACAAGATCAATTTTCTGGAGTCCCAAACAGAAAGGCAGAGAATAGAGACAGTAAAAGGAAAGAAATTCATTTATTCAGAGAGTATTTGAGGGAGGCCAGGTATGTGTGGAGGCTATATTTCTGAATACACAAGTAGAAGAATATCCATTTTTGTATAGCTTCTTTAATGGAAGAGGAATTAAACAAAAAATAAAGCCAGTTTCGCTCTTCCTTTATATGTTAATACTGGTTTCTAAACAACAATCTGTGTACCATCAATGGTGTGATGAACTTTTCAAAGGTTTGTGGTAACATTGTTTTTTTTTAAAAAAAGGACGATGTAGCAAGCTTCTGATAAAAGTAATTTCATTTAATGCCAAATTCATCATTTTGAGATAAGCCTTTTAAACTTTCTTTTGGTGTCAAAGTATACTTTATTTTACAAAATTATGTTTAAAGTAGTTAGTATTTGTTCTTTTATTAGTGCCAACTTGTCATAAGAAAAAGTTAGCAAACCATATAGTGATCCCCATAAATTTTTGGTCTTTAACATCTAAAAGTCTAAAAGCTACTTATCTGTTCTTAATATGTTTTAGTTATGAAATGGAAGTGAAGAAACTGATATGGTTTTCTTAAGTCTAAGAGAGATTTAATTGCAGCTCTCTAATTTTTAGGGAAAGAGCACCAAAGAAAATCAAAACCTAAAATTGAACCAAGAGATTCTTTGACTTTTATACCTCCTGTAACTAACTTCATGGGACTCTTCAAAGCAACAAAAAAGACCAAGGTTTCCCAAAATATTTTTTCTTTTTCATCTGTAATTACATCAGATATCATAAATGTATCAAGACCAAGAATAGTATGTTTGAGCCAACTTGGGAACCATGTACAGAAAGCCAACCCAGAGCCTGCAGAAGGCTAATAAAAGCATTTTAGTATGAAAGGTTTCCTGAACAATCTTTTAAAAATTTTTTTATTTTAAATTACAGCAAAATACATATAACTGAGCAATATTTTTTAATGGAAGTTCGTGATATTGATACTAAACAGAATTTCCTTAGTATGTCTATTGAAATTTAACATAGGTCAGAGTTAAATGGCCTCAAAAAATAAGTAGGATTTCTGTAATAGAATGCCTGCATTTAATCCTATTAAAATTTATCCATTGAAATGAATGGTATAACTACTATGTATATCAAGAGTTAGAAACATTTTTAAATTGGTATGCTAAGCTGAAGAGGCCTGATTAAAGTAGCCCACATGTTAATATTCATGTAATACCTTGAGATATTTAATAATAAATATAACAAATGCATGAGACTTCCAAAACCTGAAACGTATACTTTAAAAATAAAATCTGAAATAACTGAAATCACACAATTACAGCTTTTGTGGCTACCAGTGTTGACTATTCTCCATCTTTCTAGAGAATGTTTTTGGTGTGCAGCTGGAAAGGGTGATATTCTTTGTGGCTTAGACTCCTATAATATTTTTGCTTGCGAAGCACTGCTTCCAGCAGGTGTACATTTTTGTGTATGTCTGCTTCTCCTATTTTACAGCTGCAGGTAGATGCGATACAAAAGCAAGCCTGGCTTCACTGTTTCCTTGAAAGGCTCAATTGCCTCCAGACAGTCAGAGGGTCTTGCTAGAATCCATTCTCTACCTGGCTGCAGTAAGCACAAAAGTTATCTAATAATTAGCAGTTATTTCTCCAACATGCCTTAACAAAGTCATAATGATGGTGATGGTGGTAGCTACATGTACTTAGGGCTCCCTACGTGCCAGAGTCCAAGGCCTGCATTCTTAACCACTGCCAAATAAGAGACTTCTTTAATCTTCAAATTCAATTCTAAATTATCTTAATTGCTCTGAGTCACAGCATTCTGGGGGATGGACTAAAATATAGGAAATGCAAGGGGAAACAGCACAGTTTATACTAGAAAGGGATAAATAACTCATAAGAAACTATGTTATTTATTCAGCACCAAAAAGGATAAGAATTCATAACAGGAATATTAAGATTATATAGATGTAAAAAAAGCCTTTAGAGAGAAACCTTGAGCTTTGAAACTGGTTTCAGGTAGGCTCAAAACTATATTTTATGACTATTTTCAGGTTGAGGATCACGATTTCTTTGCATTTAATTTCAGACATAAATGACTGAGTATCCTGGCCTAGCCACTCCTAAAATTTACAGCATTTACCTATACAGCAATTTACAGCCTGAGCCCACGGGTTCGAGAACAGCCTGGGCAAGTTGGTGAGACCTCATCTCTACACTAAATCAAAAAATTAGCCAGGTGTGGTAGCAAGCACCTGTAGTTCCAGCTACTTGGAAGGCTGAGAGAGAAGCATCGCTGGAGCCCAGCAGGTTGACAGTGGAATGGTCATGAGCATGCCACTGCACCCCAGCCTGGGCGACAGAGTGAGACTCCAACTCAAAAACAAAGAAACAAACAAGCACAAAATTAGCCACCACCAACCCTGCTTTTTCATTTCATTTTTTTCATATAATCATATGCAATTTTTAAAATAATGGATGTGAATGTGGTCAACTAAAGAGTTCAAAGCATGTTTAAGGGATTATAGGCATATCAGATTTTAACAGTCTTACATTAGATGGAGATATACATCCCATTTATCCAGGGAAGATACCTAATAACAAAGACTTAAAATTAATAACATTATGTTATGCTAGAGAAAGTCAACTTTTGTCTTGGTCTGGAATTCTCTGGTTTGACATAGCTTTGAGTTGGCTACTTTCAAAAACTGTACTCTCATGATAAAAGTCAGGCTCATGTTTTAGTAAGAGTCACAACAGTTTTTTCTATCCTGATTTGAGAAAGGGGGAAAGATCTAGTAACCAGGAATCAGCAGAATCACTATACTTCTTCCAATGTTTTTCTTCCTACCTACCAATAGCAGTGACTCCTATCACCAAAAGATGTTTTCTACTTTGGTTTCTGATAACAACCTATGCTTCCTTTTAAGACTTTAACATATTATCTCAGAAGAGCAGGTAAAACATCAACCAAAAGAAAAGGAATAACAAAAGAAAATCTTGATGAATAACTAATATATTTTTTACAATTTAAAACACAATCAAAACTAAATTTTAACATTAATACTACCTTTAGAGATTTTTTTGCAGAGCAAAAATCAGATCTTCATTTTTAATCGTGGCACTTTTATGGCGGCTTCTTCAACTTCTTTTGATATATCTACTCCAAGGGGACATCTACATAATAATCAGACAAATCACACTTCAAATGTTTGCTTCATGATAGCACACTAGTTCTACAGATGATTTGCTTAGAGTTCTGACAAACAGTATAAGTATCTAATGTATAATTCATCATATGTGGTGGTGATTCTTTTTTGTTTTTTGTTTTTTGAGTTGGAGTCTCATTCCATCGCCCAGGCTGGAGTGCAGTGGCACACTCACGGCCACCCCACTGTCAACCTTCTGGGCTCTGGTGATCCTTCTGCCTCAGCCTTCCAAGTAGCTGGAACTACAGGTGCATGCTACCATGCCTGGATAATTTTTTATTTATTGTAGAGACGAGGTCTCGCCAAGTTGCCTGGGCTGGTCTCGAACCCGTGGGCTCAGGCAATCCACTCGCTTTGGCCTCCCAAAGTGCTGGGATTACAGGTTGAGCCACCAAGCCCAGCCAGGGTGATTTTTAAATACATCCAAATAGAGTGAGACCTCAGGCTAAGATAATGAAGGCTAGTCTTATTAATACAAAATCTAAATTTTGAGAAGTTTCTCAAAGAAATAATTCTAGGCTGGGCACAGTGGTCTTGACAATGTAACAGTCCAGGCCACAGACATGGTTTCCATTCTGGTCCCAAAGGATGGAATTCACCCATAGCCTGTCTGAACTCACCTATAATTTGTCAAAATTTTAATAATTGGATACTGTAGTAAAAACATTCCTATCAGCAGATCTAGGTTCATGAAAGAAATTAATGTAACTTTCTTTAAAGTACCACCAGAATGTCAATGAAAACCTCATATATAAAAGCAAAATTCAAATTTTGACTTTTATAGTGTGATTTGCATAAAGATCATGAATGGTACCACATACTTTGGTTCATAGCGGATGCCTTCTACGTCGTGTAAAATGCCCAAGCCAGCACGTAATCTTTCAATACCATTCCTAAATAAGAATCATTAAAATAAAATTAATTGCCCCAAGATTTGAAGGAAGATTTAGTATGATAAAGTGGCAATTAATACTTGTCTGATTTATGAGTGAAGCACATATATCCTGTGGCTTACCATGCAATCATGATGCCATTATCAGTGCACAGTCTAGGAGGAGGACACAACAAAGTGCATTTTGTTGCATTTGTTAGAATTTCCAGAGCTCTGCGGATGTATAAGTTACTTGCAACACCTCCAGATACAACCTGAAGGAATTTAGAAGACCAAAGTTAACAACTTTCACACATAGGTATGAGCCAACTGTTCACTAAAGCTGAGGAAAAATATCTGCATTACACAATAATAAATAATAAACTATCCTATTTTCAGGTGGGTAATGGGCAAGTGCTATCTGTGTATAAAAATTTGGAGAAGGAAAAAAATTACTAAATTTTAACACTAGCAACACAATCACTACTAGCATTTTTTATTTATTTTCTTCCAACCTTTTTTCTAAGTATAATTTTAATTATAGACAATATTGTAGAACCTGTACTTTTTATTAACTATTTCGTTCACTTTACTACATAACACTTAAAAAACTAGTCTTTGATATTCATGTAAAGTTCCAATTTGTGAATTACTATCGTTTAAACATTTCCCCACTTTAAAATTTTCAAAAGAATAAAGTTTAAGATACAGCTAAACAGGAAGTTTAGCAGGGATTTCATCAAACGATGAAGAAAATCCACCTATTTTTCTAAATATAGTGACAACTGTATTTGGCTTCTTTATTGTAAACCCCCTTTTAAATTCAATGAGAAGATGTAATCTTGGATTTGTTCCCACAAGAGCTATACATACATCCCATAAAATTGCCACACCTGTACAAGAAATGGTTGTTAGTCTTTTCTATTCTGCATAACTTCACATTCTCAGGGCTAGCATATGGCATAACCTGTTCATCCTAAGCACAAGGCTGACTAAGGCCTTGGGAGAAAAGTAACATACTACAGAGTTACCCATACTAGAAAAGGAGATGACAAAACCTACCAGGACTGCATTCCTCTGAGGTAACAAGTCTCTCTGCTTACAAAAGAGAATGGCACGGTGTGTCCTCTTCACGATGTGGCATGCTGTTGTGTGCTGCACTGTAGCTGCAATGTCTGCAGCAGAAGACAGGATATGCCCCTTCTCAACACCTGCAGAAATGAGCAGGTATTTTTAGGCACAATCTAGGAATATTTATCTATCAAACTTTACTAATTAGAAACATACCTTCCTCTTTTTCCTTTTGCATTATTATTTTATCAATAATGTGCTGAAGTCCAGTAAAAGAAAAATCACAATTCTTAGCACGTTGCATGGCAGGTTTGATATCAAAATTAAACGGATTTCCTTGTTTGGCCAGATGTTCAATAGCTTTCCCACCACTCATGGTGGAGCACTCTGGATGTTTTGTTAAAGAAAGTCTTCTTGCCACCTGTCAAAAACAAAAATATATCTTCAATAAGTCATATTGCACATCTTGAAAAAATTCCAAGGAAATAAATTACAGTATTACCAAACAAAAAACCCTGAATGAATAAAACATGCTCTACTTTGACAAATATGGACTACAGCTATACTCTGCTAAGTAGACAATGCTGCTCCTTATGACGACCTGATCACCAGGGGCCAATTGTTGCCCCCGTCTACTTTTGCTGTTACTTTCACTGTTGGAAGCAGTTTTGTTTGTACATGGCAGTAAATTCTGCAGTATTCTAAAACAAAGGAAAAAGAAACCTCCATGACTGTGTTGTCAGCAATTGTGTGATTTAATCATGTAACTGTGTACCTTTAATGTCCTTATATCTCCTTTTATGTTTTTATAGTATGTTACAGTTTACAAAGCACTTTCTTTCACATGTATTATTTGATTAAATATATAACTGCATCTGCAGACTATCTGAGCCTTTATGTACTAATATATACCTCTTACCATTTTATTAGGAAAGACTAAGAATTATAAACTTGTACTGCTTTTTCTTTTTTCTTATTGTATATAATTTTTTTTCAGTCTAATAATCATTCAGAAATATTCAGATGAATGGCAGTAGTGTATCTAATACTATTTTCATTAAAATGGACATAATTAAAAGAACAAAGAAATTAACTCTCAAATAATTACCTTGTCAAGCATGTCTCCTGGTGCTATGTCCAAAGACTTTCCAAGAAGCAGAAAATCCGAAACTCCCTGAACTAATGCCAATAGACAGTGACCTCCAGAAATCAAAAGAACTAAGAAAGGAAATTCTACTTTATTGGTCAGCCTAATAGTAAGTGCATGAGCCTCCATATGATGAATGGGAATGAATGGCTTTTTTAACTGGTCTACCAGCTGTAAGCTAAATGACAAGCCTACTCCCAAGCTTAATGCAAGTCCTGGTTTTGTGGTAGTTGCAATTGCTGAGAGTTCACCTGGAGAGACTCTACTGGCAGAAAGAGCTTCTTGCACTATTCGCTGGATATTTTCTCTGTGAAGCTGTTGAGCTACTGGAGGAATAATTCCTCCTGTTCTGAAAGAAACAAAAAGGCAGCTTTTTATAATTTTAAGATTGTAAAAATGAAGAAAAATGGTAATATATATTATAGCTGAAGGCATGATTTCAAATTAATCATCATATAGCAGAAGATATTAGTAAGCCAACTATTCTCAAATTGTGTGCCTTATAACACAGCACACTATGATAAGAACTCAACGTGCGGTAATTAAAGGGATACTGTATCTGACTTTTCAAACTTGTACACAGCAAACTCCCATGGATTTTTTTGTTGATAAATGAAATCACCAAAATAATCTTGCAAAGCATTCTAAAGAATTCTTGAACAAAGGAAGGACAGGAAAAAGCTGTGTTTTAGGAAGATTAATTTCCCAGGAGACTGGGAGATTTTAAAAGAGATTATTACAAAAGTATTTTGTGTAAAGTGATTATATCTTAAACTGGATGACCGTAAGAATGGAAAGAAAGGGACAAGGCCTTGAAAACTGTAATAACTAACTGAACATAAGGGGACGGGACTAAGGCATCACAGATGATTCAGATATTCAGCTGAAATTACTGGAAGAAAAGAAATACTAACAGAGAAACATGAAGACAGTTTTATAAAGAAGATAAGTTTATTTTTAAACACACTGCACTTGAGGTCACAGCAGGACAGTAGATAACTTGCAGTCCTGAAATACAGTTCAGGAACCTGGTGCTCAGAATTGGCAATTTGGATTTTTGGTCTATGTGGGACAGTGGATGACCACTTCAAATGTCAAGTGTAAAGAATTAGGAGACAAATTTGCTAACAACAAATTTGCTAGCATGAGACTGATTTACAATCTGAGAAACAGAGCAATAAGATGTAGAATCTGCAAAACACATAGCTAGTTTCAAAAACCATCTTCAAATATTTGATATTGCAAGACCTACTAGTTCTATATATAGAAATGAACATCCTTGGTAGGTGCATTCAGTGACTATATTCTTCATTGTTACAATATGCATTGTTTTAGGCAATGAGAGGGATATAAATGAAACAATCTTATTTCAGCACATCCATATTGTAATACTTTCCTGAATTCTTCAAAGCAACTTTTTCTTCTATATCCTTCACCTCTATTAGTGGCATCAAACAACTTCATAATTACTTAGGTTTCCAAGTGCATATTACCTCCTTTCTTCCCTCACTCTCCACATTTACATTTATCACCAAATTTAAAAAGCCCTCATATCTCAGTTTATTCCAGTCTTCTCGTTGCACTGTTCTGGCTCCATCCTTGGATCACAGGAGCCTATCCTATACTGTGTTGCAAGACTACTCTAAAGCCCAGTGCCAACCCTGCTGCTCTCATACTTAAAACCCTAGTTCTGTGGAATTTGGAAAACTTTAAATCTAAATCCCCTGCCTCCCACTCATTTTTTTCCCCTATGTCTTGCCCCCCTCCCCTCCTTTCTGTGCCTTCTCTGTGTATTTTATCTTCCATGGATTATGCTAAGCACGGGGGGGGGGGGCATGGACATGCAAACAAGATGAACACTATGGCCTTATTCTCAAAGAATTAATAATGAGAATATATTCTTGTCTTACTAGGATTTGTAAATAGTATGGAGCATGATTAGAAAACAAAACTGCTGGGTGCAGTAGCTCATGCCTGTGATCCCAGAAGCTTGGGAAGTTGAGGCAGGAAACCTGCTTGAGGCCAGGGGTTTGACACCAGCCGGGGCAACATAGTGAAAGCTTGCCTCTAAAAAGAAAGAAAAGAAAGCTAATACAGACAGGGAAACCATTTAGCCTCAAGGCTACAGCCAAGAGACAAGGGACAATAAGGTACTGAACCAAGTTGATGAAAGTTTCAATGAATATGTGGAAGACAGATTTACTACAAATGGATAAGAGATTTGGATGTGGAGTGGTGAGGAAGAAGTCAAGGACGCCTCTTAGGTTTCTGGTTTTTGGAAAGAAAGAGGCCAAGACATTCTCTATTTTTAATCCTCTGTCCCCGGCCAAGCAGTCCTCAATTAGTGCCCTTTCCATGGTGTCTTAAAATGATCTGTTTACTGTCTGTCTGCTTCACTTTTACTGTTAGTAGTAATGGGAATACTGTTGCTAGTAGCTAGCTCGTACTGAGCCTTTGCTGTTTGTCAAGAACTGCACCAAATGCTTTACAATAATTCACATTTTATTCACAATATGGGCCAGTTGCCATTATTATCCCCATTGTACAGATAAGGAAACTGAGGCTCAAAAAGCTGTGCATAGTAATAAAGCTAGTAAGTGCCTGAACCAGAACATAAACCTACATTCTAACCCACTTATGTGGTGAGCTGCCTGAGGCATGGCATATTCACATTTATACCCAAAGTGCCCCAAAATTGCCTGGCAACTGTAGATAATCAACAAATGCTGAGTTGAGCTAGGTGGATGGTACCACTGAGGCACATTCGCCCAGTAGTCCCCTCATGTGATCTAAGTCCTGGCTAAACTGAATGTTCGTCTAGTACTTTCTCACCTCTTTGCCTTTGCTGACAGTGCTCACTAGGCTCTAATATTCTTCCCATCTCTATTCATTGAAGGCCTAACTATCTTTCAAGGCCACTGAGTACCTGTAATGTGTCACACATTGTATTGGGCACCAGGCACAGCACAGTGATTAACACAGACATAGCTCCTGTCACCATGGAGTTTAGTGTCTAGTGGGGGAAAGATTATACATAAAGAAACAAATGTATAGATTGCGAGATGATTACAAGGAAAATATACAGGGCATGGTGACATATATAGCATAAAGAGGATGGGAGTACCTGATTTAGATAAAGTGGTCAGGATAGGCCTTCTCATGCAGTCAATGTTTACAGGTTAAGCAGGCTCAGTGGCTCAGCCTGTAATCCTGCGCCTTTGGGAGGCTGAGGTGAGTGGATTGCCTGAGGCCACGGGTTTGTGACCCGCCTGGGCAACTTGGCGAGACCTCATCTCTACAATAAGTCAAAAATTAGCCGGGCGTGGTAGCGCGCGACTGTAGTTCCAGCTACTTGGAAGGCTGAGGTGGAAGGATTGCTGGAGCCCAGCAGGTCGAGGCTGCGGTGGCCGGGAGCGGCCACTGCACTCCAGTCTGGGCGACACAGTGAGACTCCAACTCAAAAAAAAAAAAAAAATGTTTACAGGTTCAGAAGTTCAGCGCACTCAGGAAAGATAGAAACTGAGGCCAGGTAATAATAGTTACTGTTTGCACCACTTGCTTGAGATTTACTTTATCCTGCTCCACACTGTTAGCTCTCCTTGTAGGTCTATACATCATGTTTTAGTAATCAGGTAAAGCTTCTTGAAGGTAAAGCTTTCCAGTACTTCACAATGCCTTATCACATCCAAAGACCCTTTCACACAGTTGTTGTTTGAGGCTTCCTCTGCCTCTTCACATATATTATTTCTAATACAATCCCCTCACCAATCCTATGAGGCAGGTGTTAGCTTTGCTATTTTACTGATTTGCAAACAGAATCAGAGAGAACAGTGAACGTGCCTGCAGTCACAGAACGAATGCTAAGTGCCTGATTCAGGATTAAAATACATGACTGTGATTCTAGAATACCAGGCTTATTCACTATTCAAATGCTATAAATTGATGACTTAAAGGCATGTGTTTTCATATATTTTGAATGAGCTAATCATTTAAAAAACTTGGAAATATTACATTAAAAATCTAGATTTATATTTTCTCTTGCAAATTCTGATGATCTAATAACAAAGGTCCTACATTCCTGCAGTGTAACAGTTGGCAACAACGGAGTAGTAACTTATCCTTCAGATATTTTCCACTTTACATCTTGTCCACTTATTTAACCTGCCTGGTAGTCCTTTGCAATCATCTGAATTTATAATCCTTTTTACCATTCTATGCTTTAATACAACAGTGTATTATTATTATTAAAGAACCAACACAATTTCTATATATAAATGTGAATAGGACTTTTTTTCAGTGATTAACACTTTTCCTAGGACTTCAGTTGAGACCATGAAACGTACAAGTGGAGAAAAGAAGAAAAGGTATTACTGAAGAAAAATCATTGATGACAACTGAAGCTGGGAACAAGCTTAGTTCTTTTTGGCAACAGAATTAGCTAAGGTTGTGACCTTATTGTGAAGACACTTAAAAGCCAGGATGAGGTGTCTGAGGTTTTCTATGGCAATTATAAGAAGCTTTTGCACAAAGGAGTACGAAATTAGCTCCTAAAAATTAACTTTTCTATATGATAAATTCAAAAGAATGATTTCATTTTACTTTTTCCAAAAAAGTGGAAATGACTAACATAATGTGTACTTACTTTAAATGAACTTGAGTTTGGGAATGTATTGCTTCTCCCAACACATTTCCAGTTTCATCCACCACAGCAGCTGCTGTATCATCACAACTGGTTTCAATTCCCAATACTATTTTATGAAAAAATTGTGTTCCAGGATGAAAATTAAAGCTTTGTAAAAATTCATGAACTTTCCTTTTTGATGTTTTAAAAACAACTCCTGCTGTTTTATTCAATATTAGCATACTTACTCTATAGTTAATTCCTGGAAAAGAATTACAGAAACAAATTATTTATTTGGAACTAACATTAGCCATTAGCCCATTCAGTTAAGCAAAATTCTGAAAGCTTGGCTTATTTTTCAATATATAGTTTTATAGAATATGGAAAAGTTTGTAAAAGTTACAAACATCTTGTAAAAGCTATAGGTATCTGTCAATATAAATAACAGTGTGGGCCAGGTGCAGTGACTCATGCCTATAATCCCAGCACTTTAGAAGGCTGAGACAGGAGGATTGTGTAAGTCTAGGAATTCGAGACCAGCCTAAGTAACATAGAAGACCTCGTCTCTACAAAAATAAAAACAAAAAATTAGCTGGGCATGGTGGCACATGCCTGTAGTCCCAGCTACTTGGAGTCTAAGACAGGAGGACTGCCTGAGCCCAGGAAGTTGAGGCTGCATTGAGCCGTGATGGTGTAGTGACATGCACTCCAGCATGACTGACAGAAATCCAGACTAATAATAAACAGCATAAATGAATATAATACTCTCCAAGGGGAAAAACAGGAGACAGATGCAAAATTTTTTTAGTATCACTATTATTTCCAAACTATTCTTACCAAACTATTTATTATAAACTGTAAAGTATTCTTAATAAAACAGCTAATACTGCAGTATAATAACTGATGGTTTAGTCCTCTGTAAAGTACCATTTATGTTTTGATAGCTAAAATTAAGACAGAATGTGTTTTTTAAAAAAATCAAGCAATGGCAAATGTAACAGATAAAAATACTGTTAATGCATTTTATTTCCTGAAAATATATTTCAAAATAACACTTAATCATTTGGTTCAAAAACAAGAGTTAACACACACACACTCTTCAGATTTAGTCTTCTGGTTTAGAAGCAAGTATGTTCTCATAAAGCTCATCTTAAACACATCTCGACTATAATAACTGCAATCTAACACCTATTTGATCCTTAATTGCAATCTTTGGAATTAAATCTCCAGTTTTTGACACAAGCTTTATCATGGAAAGGATCTTCCCAAACCGTGTTTTCCCCAAATAATAGCATTCATCACTAAAGCACACAGATATTTTCACATATGCTGAGTACCTAATTTCACGACCCCAAATCTTTCATTCTAAAACGTCCTGGATGTTAACGTAGGCCCTTTCTCCATCACAACAAAATTAGGGATTCAAAACACGAGCAGTACTGGAAATGGGACACACAGAGGACATCCAGCGATTAGAGACGAGCGACCTATTCGCAGAGGGCGGCTGCGGGGAACGCGCCCAGACACACCCACCCTGGAGGACCGAGATTTGCATTCCTTAAATCTGAGCAAGACAGACAGCTAAATTCTTCCCTTTGGGGCCAAGAAAGCGCGCGAGCAGGCCCACGTGACTGGGGCAGCGCCGATCTCTGCTCTGAGAAGGCGACGGGCTTGAACTCGTTTCCAGCGGCGCGAGAGCAACGACAGGGCGAGACGGGCAGTTTCACCCACCTTCTCCGAGGACGGCAGGACCTAGGGCTCGCCCCCAGCTTAGCCCACGGAGAAAGCCCGGAACAGGCGCCCGGAAGTGGCGTCATCGGCGCCGTGCCGCGTCCCCTTTCCGGGGCTGGCTGCAGGCGCTCAGACGGCGGCCTCTTCAGTACTGGGAGGCTGGCCGGCCGCCTTTGTCCGAGAGGAAGTGTGCGCGCTCGCACGTCCTCTCCCGCCCAGAGTTGTAGGTAACGAGATTACCACAAGGCCGCGCAACTAGACCCGAGCCGGCGGGGTCCGAGCACTTCACAGCATTCAGTTCCAGACACAGCGCCACGCTGAAAAAAAGGTTTTTGCCCTTGGCTGGAATTTGGTTGCTACTGTGAGAAAAGGATGGGGTGGATGATTCGCCATCCTATTTTAAAGGACCTATCACCACAGCAAAGGGTTGCCTGAGAAACATACTACTTTCATCAGAGAAACAGTGGAAACAAGCAGCGCCTCCAGCAACCTGCACCGGGTGCCCAGAGAACGGAAGTGCTTTTGGTTGGACAGTCTAAATAAACCATTACTCTAGGCGCAATTCATTAAAAAAAATTTTTTTTTGTAATTAAAAAAAAAGGCGGTGGTAAATATTCACTTCTCTAAAACAACAACAACAGCAACAAAACCCTATTTCAGGGCCTGGTGTGGTGGCCTACGCCTATAATCCTAGCACTTCAGGAGGCCGAGGTGAGAGGATTGCCTGAGCCCACGGGTTCGAGACCAACCTGGGCAACCTGATGAGATCTCATCTCTACATGCCTGTTGTTCCAGCTACTTGGAAGGCTGAGGCAGAAGGATCGCCTGAGCCCAGCAGGTTGAGGCTGCGGTGGTTGTGAGTGTGCCACTGCACTCCAGCCTGGGTGACAGAGTGAGACTCCTATTCAAAACAAAAACAAAAACCCTGTTTCATAATGCATTATATGGTTCATGCACACTGTGTATGCAAGCTTCAGCATAGTATGTTCTCATGCTCTTGCACTTTTTTTTTTTTTTTTGCTTTTATTGGTTTGTGTATTTGTTACCATTTCTTTGAATACATGTATCCTAAGAGATCGTTCTTGTTCTCTGCTAGGCTCACTTAAAGCAAGGTTTTAAGTAACCCAAGACCCTACAATGTGCACTTGGGTGTGGCCGGCATACGTGTCTGTGATTCCATGGTGTAAAGTGCTGGGTATAAAAGATGAGTAAATCATGTGCTGGGAAACCACAGACTATAGTCTAGGCGTAGATACAGATAAATAAGTTCATAATTACCAGAATATTGCTGGAAAGTTTTAAAAATTAGAGCCTATGCTTTTTAAAAAATTCATTTATGTGGAATTTTATAATACCAGGCAGTATTGTACATTAATTTATTTAATTCTCACAACTTCATGAGGCAGTTACTGTACTCATTTTATAGGCAGCTGGGCCACAGAGTGAGTGATTTGCACATCACACAACTAGTAATTGCAGAGCTAGGATTGGAGGTCAGGCCATTTATCACTGGAATCTACTTTCTTAACAGCTAGAAAGTAAAATGACTGGGTTATAAAGTAAAATCACTTGTCAATAGGCGTGGTGGCTCACACCAGTATTCTCTGCACTTTGGGAGGCAGAGATGAGAGGATTGCCTGAGCCCAGGGCTTCCAGACCAGACTGGGCAACTTAGCGAAACCTCATCTTTACAAAAAATAAATAAAAATATTAACTGGTCATGGTGGCACACACCGGTGGTTGCAGCTGCTTGGAAGGATGAGGTGGAAGGATCACCTGAAGCTAGAAGGTGAGGCCATGGTAGCTGTGATAGTGCAACAGAATGAAATTCCAACTCAAAAAAGAATCAGAGAGGGAGAAAGAGAAAGAAAGGTGAGAGGAAAAAAGAAAAGAAAATCACTTGTATTTTATCTATGGCAGCAGCATCAACCTAAAAGAGGAAAAAAGAGAAACTAAAATTTAAAGATTAAGAAAAATTAATCATCCTTTTTGATTATATGATAGATCAGAGGTTATTTCTATTATACATGGAATCCAGTCTAAACATAAAAACTTTCAATTTTTTTTTTTTTGCTCTTCTAATTATGTTTAGCAGTATATCCCATGTGCTGTCAAGAAACACAAAACCGTTTTGTGTGCTAATAATTGGTAGATTTCTTCATCTAGGCACTTGGCCAGTGTTGAGCTTGAACACTGTATTCCGTGAAACCGCAGAATTCCAGGGCACATTAGGAAGCAATTTGTATTCTTCCATTGATTGAGTACATGCGAAATAGCACTTATACCAGTCTCACATTATTTAGCAAGTGAAGGTATATATCTTCTGTGGTCTTTATTGTACCACAGTAGAGGACTATTGGGGAAAGACATGTACGCTTTCTAGGGCCTGTCTGCTTTCATGCAGATCATATGATGTGGTTAGAATGTCACTCATGTGCATTCTTAAAATAATATGGCCTAACCATTGTTAACTTAAACTTGAATCGAGATTTCCAACTGAATCTAAATATGCAGATTTTGTCTTGGTTATTGCCTGTCTAGCTTTCCATTTCTAAACTTCAGAGGAAAATTGTATATGGAGTAAACTTATTTTTCAATACTTATTTCCTGATTATGTCCTACTAATTAGATTTTATTTTATCACATCTTTATTGAGTTATTTCCTTTGTGCTAGGAACTTTATTAGTTGTTTGGGATAATGAAATAACTCCATTCTCTGTCTTCAAGGATCTCAGAGTCAAGTGGCAAAAGACAAATAGGCAATACAGAATTATGGAAATATGAATGGAAAGGTGTTGAGAGAAGGGAGTTGCTTGGTGAAGGCTGTGTGGCTTGCCACAGAGGTATCCACAGCCTAGTAGCCCATGATATGATTACTGGGTTTCAACATCTGGTTCTTTTATAGGCTTGACATTGGTTTATCTGACCTGGAAGTTACTAGACTCTGAAGTATTGAGTCATACACCACAAATTGCTAATAAAATGCTGTGTAAAAACCAGTAATGTATTAATTTAAGAGAAATGCAATGACGGAGGAACTAGGATAGTTGAGTTTGCTAGTCATTATCTTCTTTGTGTTGACCAAATTACAATGAAGGCCACATCCAAATTAGAATCAGAAGATTGCTTATTAAATATGGAATGGAAGCAACAGAAATGAGCTTGCTGCTTTTAATGGCTAAATGTTTCAAGCCTGATACATCTCTTTCCATTTGAGTCACATACCTGCCTTACATTCTTCATGAATTGGATTGTGCTAAAAACATACTACTACCGGGCTTGGTGGCTCAGCCTGTAATCCCGGGCCTTTGGGAGGCTGAGGTGAGTGGATTGCCTGAGCCCG